TAGCAGCAGACAGCACATCAGAGCCCCACACAGCAGAACGGAGATATCAGGACTAGGCTGTTTGTTTGTGGACTTTTTTCTGTGGAGATGATGCTAAACCACATTTTCAGGAACACTTCTGCCGCTGTAGTTTGCATCAACACCATCCGTCCTATGGAGGAACAAATTTAAAATCAAGGACAGATTCTCTGCTCTAGAAAATGACATTCAGGCACTGACATGCGATTGACCAATTCTTGCTGTGTGCTTTTATTCCACAGATGCAGTCTACCCCCCATCAATCAAAGAAGGTCAGATTTGGGCTGAGGAATAATAAAACGGCAGGTAAGAATGAATCGATAACCAGTTAAAGTGAAGTAAATCCATCTGATCTCCTAATTATTGCATCTGTTGATGGGTTAGGCATGAGAATGCAGTGATTGATATTGACGAAGTAGTACAAGGAACAACTAAGGAAATGTTCAGGGTTTTAAAGGAGTTGATGGCTCCACAGACCAGGGCTTTGTCTGCACAGAGCCTTTAGACGTACAGTGTGAGCAGGTAGATTGCATCAGAGCGTCGGGTTGCACAGTTTAGGAACATACATCAGGAGCTGTGAACTTTTAAACCCTTAGGTTTAAAAGCTACAGTGTGAGCTGTAGCTGCATGCTATGATTGAAAATATTGTAACGTAATTCTGACTTGCTAAACTACATTTAGGATTAGACTGTGCAAAAGTGCATGAATCAATTGGGAAGGGAGGTTTCTACATTTCCCTCTGTTAACCCTATAATGCCAAATGTATCGTATTTGATACATACGGTTTCTGAAATGTTTTGCGTCCGACACCTTTTGCATAATTTAATGGTTAAAAACTTTGCTCAAAATCCTATTGTACACAATCGATATACCTGATAACAGAGGGCAGAAGACTACACAAAAAATAATCTTGACTTATCGCAGAGTAATAAATTATTAATATCAAAAATGTATTTCTGTTTTTTCTTTTTACATATTTTGTTAAAAGGCCAAATAAGGACTTCAAACCAAAAAAAAGTAATTTTCTGTTTTGTTTTATTCTTGGATCGGGCTTTAAAGGGTTAAACCTGGTCAGTTTGCAAGTGTTGGATGCATACTTAATACAGGTTATTAAATACATATATTTTAGAGAATTTATTGACCAGTTTTTTCTTTCTTTTTCTTTATTGTTTTTTCTTTTTTAAAGTAAAATGTGCTATACAATAGAGATGTCCTAAGTTATTTTTGTATTGTATTTCTGTTGTATGAAATAGAAGTCTGAACGTATAGCAGGTTGGGTTTATTGTTTTTTATTTTCCTGATGTGTCTTTAGGTAACTCCTGTTTTTTAAGTCGAGATATTTAATGTAAAACACAGTAAGTCTGTTGTAACAGTTTTGCTTTCTGTCATTTAGAGTTTAAGAAGACTGATCTCACTGTGCTTCTCAGTCCGGAGGGTTCGTCTCGAGTGCCGTTTGACCCGCAGCAGAAACCAAAGTTTGGGGTCTTAAAGTCTCCGCCCACTCCTGTATCCTCTGGTTCCAAGAAAACCCCCAAGAAGAACAGGGGCAAATTGCTCCAAGCAACACCTAAAGGACGACCTTTGGGAAAGCGCAATTTTTTTTAAGTCTTTAAGAACTGTTGGAGAAAACACACATTGGCTGTGAAAAGTTTTATAGCGGTTTGAATTCTGTAAACATCTCTATTTTTGTTAATCTAATCAAAATGTTCCAGTTAACTTGTTTGGATTTATTCATTGTTCAAATAAAGGCATTCATTCCAATGATGTGGTACAAAATGACGACTATGAGGTGCAGTAGGAGTTGTTCCCCATAATAGGGAAGCTGTTTTTACTCTTAATTCTAGATTTTCTGTATGGTGCATCTGAAAGGTATAGACAGCACTTCACTTTTTTCACATTTGGCTTTGGTTCAACCTTAATCCAAATAATTTTTATCTTCTTTTATACTAAGAAGATGCATTGAAGGCCTTATTTGGGGGGGGTTTAGAAGGCTTATGACCCAACCAAAAATAGGGTGCAGTTAACCCCCCTAAAGATATCGCATATTTCTGTTTTGTAATAAATAGTTTTTTTTTGTTTTTTTTTCATTAGAAGAATACTAGGATGTCAATCATTTGGTAATTTTTCCGTCCCTGCTAAATATTAGTGTTACTCAACAGAGTCATTCTCTCTACCAAGCCTTCACTATTAACAGCAGTGTGAGTAATTTAAAAACATTAAATGAAAGAAAAAAAGCAGAAAAGATGTTTTAGTATTGGTCAGCACCAACCCCTAAAGAAAAGAAAAATCTCTCACATGATTTCAAAACTCAAGCCCAGTCTTATGAAACGGACATTTAGATGTACCTGTCTGTTATAGGAGGTATTAAGCCAGAAAATGACATTAGATTTAATATCAATTTCATATTGTAACTGCCAGCTCCACCTAACCAACAATGAGAAATAATGTTTTTCAAATGGCTTTTTAGTCCAGAGCTGTAGACACCTCTTGTTCATTACCTAGAAAGTTACTCTGAGTGTGCCTCAAAAAGGGTTACAGTACTTAAGACGGCTAAATTAAGAGCTAAAACGAGAATTGGGGCCTGGTGCATGAGAGTGCAAATGAACAGATGAAAGAAGATTGAAGAAGGCAACGCATTGCAGGTCATTGCTGCAGACAGTAATTCTACATTTAACAAAAAATGTACTGTCCATTAAATTGGGAAAATATCTGCTGGAGCCTTTTAAACACCGTAAGCACAAATGTAAATTTCACTATTATTTTCTTTGCTTATCTTAAATATAAAGTTCTGAGTTTAATGATGCAGTTTCAACAAGGAACAACTAAAAAATGAATAAGTACTACTAAGTAATCAAGTAAATGAATTGTAAATGATATACTCTACATTCTACAAACAAGGATTTCGTGAAGCTGACAGAAAAAAATCCACTGCTATCTAATAATTTGGCAGAACATGTAAAAGCACATTTTACTTTTGTTGAGAGTTTACAGAATGAGACCAATGGAAATAAATCCAAAAGAGACCAATGAACATCACACAAAAGAGCTGTAAGCTTAAATAGTTCCATAAGCTGAAATCACATCAGACAGAAATAAACATACAGAAGGGTAGAGGGACGGTGACAAAACTGATGGAGGGAACGACAGAAAGAAAGAGCAGGGAGACGGTGTCCATTTTAAAGGTAGAGTTAGATTTGCTGATTTAGAAAGCAAGGAGACACACATGAGAGAATGGAACATTCAAAGCGAGACTATCCACAGTCATTGATATAAAATTTGACTTCATGGTACTGCCAGAAAGCAGCAGTTTTAACTTAAATCCAGTTGATCTACAAGAACAACTTCTCTTGCCATTAAGTTGGTGGCCCCTGTTGGGTATAAAAACAACCATCTATCAATCAATTAATTAATTTGATCATTAAATATATAGATTTCAGGCTTTATGTATTTAATGGTAAATGGCATGTACTTATATAGTGCCTTTACTCAAGTCAGGAGACTTGACCAAAGCACTTTACACTTCATTCATTCACCCATTCACTCACACACTGATGGTAGCAAGCTACATTGTAGCCACAGCTGCCCTGGGGCTCACTGACAGACAGACCACCATCAGTAGACAATGCAGGTGAAGTGTCTTGCCCAAGGACACAACGACAATGAAAGTCGGAGTCGGGGCTTGAACCGTTAATCCTTTGATTTCAGGGCAAACTCCTACATCCAACGCCACTATAATAAATAATTATGAATAAATTATTAAGTTATTATTAGGTCTCTTTAAAAAGGAGATTTTTATCTCATCGAGATCTAACTGTATTTTACATAAATGCATCACAGTTTATTATTGGATATCAGAAACTATAGTGTTAGAAAAGAAACCAAAGACTCATCCATTTCAAAACTGTTGTCGTTGTTTTGCTGTAATGGCACAAGGAAGCGTACAACTGAGCTACACCTGAAAAAGTCATAACACCTCCAGGAAAAAATTTACATTGATGCTTTTTTGTCAAAATTAATATTCTTGAAAATGTGGTACTTTTGATATCCTCACAAAATACATCCAGATCTAATTAAAAAATAATGTACATATTATAAAAAAAAAAAACGTTTGAATGCATAAAAATACACCAGTGTCAGTAGTTTTGCTACTGTGCAGCCCCAATTACAGTTTTGTGATGGTTAAAATTACTTGAAATATATTAATAGGTATTTTCTGTCATTTTTTATTACCTTTTATGTGATTAACAGTCCTGTAACTTCAAAGGTTTTTGGCTTTCTTTTGTAGTTTTCAATTGATATTTAAAAATATCTTGTGGTGTTTCAACAATCAGAGAGCTCTCCATGAGAAATATAATTCCTAAATTAGTCATATTTGTGCCTTTATATTCAACTGATGGTTTATGTGAATTACTGCTAGTTTACTTTGGCCCTAAATTTATATTATTTATTATACCCATACTATTTCATCTATAATGTGTTGTTTAATTTCTACAAAATACAAAGACAATATAAAATCATCTGAGGCATGTTATTTATCTAATTGCTTATAGTTATTTATTTTTTTTTATTATGATTGAATTAATAACAACCTTACATCTATTTCATTATATGCCGCTGGTGAATTTACAATGCTTTTTGTTTGACCAAATCTGGGATGAATTTGTAACAGTTTAAACAGTGCACTATACATTATAGACATGTGTATTAATTCAATAACCAAAAACCAAATATTTATGATCAACCTCATTGCTGGCTTTTGCAGATTTAAGAGTAGTGAGCGGATTTGTTTGCACCTTTCTGCGTTAAAATGTAGTTACAAAGGTGGCTTCAGTTCAATGCTTTGTCTCCCTTAAGAGAAAAATCTCTGGAGCATCACTGTTGTCTTGGGAATGACAATCTATATTATCTGAAATGCGGATAATTGATTGAGTTTGTTCACCTTAATGTTTATTAATAAGAGAAAACCTGAAATGTACGGAAGAGGATTAGGGCCACTGAAAACAAAAAAAAAGTTAACTGATTTTTAAATTTTATTTCAGTTTAACGTGGGAAAAAGACAGACACTTTAATCTCAGAATTCTGACTTTTTTTCCTCAGAATTCTGACTTTTTTT